TGCAGTATACCGCCTAAGGATCTGTTGGTCCTCCTAGAAACTTTCTTATCGATAGACCAGCTTCACGCAACCAGCCAATTCGACCACTCTCAAAGTCACTTAGCTGGGACACCCGGGGAATTCTACGCACTCTAGGCATTTTGAGCAATCACAAAAAGGCTTCTCAGTAAGGTACACGAAATTTAACATTTAAGTAACGCCGTAAGTGTACGATAACTGAGTGCATCTTAATCTCCAAACAATACAAGCAACCACCACAAATAGAAAACCCTGACCATTTTATCACTTGTTGTTCATGGCAAGGTAAATCGATATGTAAAAAATTCTTGAATTATAATAAACGTACGTATGTGTTTACCTTTTTTGTCACTCAGTATATGTCTTGAATTATCTCTAAAAAAAATCTAGTTTACAATCTTTACCGGGCGCTTGGGTGTGTAAGCCACTCCCTAACGGTCCAACATTTGGGAATCGCAATCAAAGTGATCAGAATCGAACCAATTATTTCGATTCCTAGGCACAACTCGTTCAGGACTGACCCAACTCTAGCAATTGTTGCATACAGATTGCCAACCGTATAAATGCTATTGCCTTGAACAGAAATCAATTCGGATGATACTTAAAAAGTGATGGATCATTTTATGTTAATTGCTATCAATAAATAACAAATAGATGAGATTATTTTTCATACTGCCGTCTGATGCGATTGAATCTACAATACAGTGGGTCTCGGTCAATTTCCTAGGGTTAATAACATGTTTTAAAGGTTTCTATTCTTCATAAGATGCTATTTTGTGTAAAATAAAGTTGTGTGATTTTATTCTGAACTCCCTAAGAATATTAATAATCCAAATTCAAATTCTGTACATCAAAAATTGTTTTCAAGTGCAATTCAAGCAATAGAATCATAGCTCTCCCTCGAAAACACCGCCTACAGCTGGAATTGATTAAGAGAGATCGTACAGAAATGTTTGAAGATATGTTTGAGTTAGTCACAGGGTTGTTTCATTTTAAACATTTTGTTTTAATCAATTTTAAAACATGTTTAAAACACTTAAATTAAACAAGCGTTTTTTTCTTCATTTTCTTTATTAATATAATAAATAAAAATAGGAAATGTTCTCAAATACATTATACATAAATATTAGTTATTTATTAATAATAGAACACAAAAAAATTGGAAAACTTAAACATTTTGCATACAAGTGTTAACAAATTCCCCACACTCTTTCAGTCTCATCGTCATCTAAGTCATCAATCTGATATCTGATCAGTCACGTACGTCATCACTGATGGAATTAAGCTCTTCAAAAATTGATACCAACTTAGCAGCTTTGGCATTGCTTAGCCGATTATGTAGTTTTGAATGGACTAAACCGTATGATGAGAAGATTCTTTCTATGTTGGCTGACGATGCAATAGCTGTATGAAGCTGTTGAGCGAGTTCCAAGGCTGTAGTATTTATATTTTTCGTAGAACGCCACCATGGTTTTACATTCTTAACTAGATGTTTAGAAAACATAATATATGGTTTAACTTTGCCTGGTAACTAATAATAATTGGCAATGCTTCTGGATTATAGGTATCTACATATTCCATGCCAGTTTTTATTTGCTCATGACTAAGTTTATTGCCTCTAAAGCGATAATCAAGCAAATTTGCCAAAAAATGAGCTGGGGGAAAATTCTCCATTTGCTTTTCAGTCTCGAACGCTCCTAAAAATTCTAGCCATATCTCTGTAGCCTCTCCTATGGTGCAAATGTTCCTTTGGACTTTGTCCAAAGCAAATGCGACATACTTTAATTTTTTTAAATAGTCTAGGGCATTTGTCTTTAAATTGGTAAAAAAGTAAAATTCAAAGTTACTTGTATTATCTGGGTAAACATTCTTTGAATATTTCTGAGTTTTGGACATCTCAGCTAGCGTTAAATCCTCATCTGACTCGGAATCATAGATAATTGACATTGATAGCTGAGAATTTTCAGATGGAACACATTTTTGAATATATTTCTTCATACGCAGCACTAGTTCAGCCATAATTACTTTACATTTTTTACATTTAGCAGTCACTGATTTTTTGTTATTATCTTTAACAACATCAAAATAGGACCAAATGGCATCTTTCTTCCTTCCTGTAGACGACATTTTTCAAAAAAAGAACACAACAAAATAACTTACAGTAGACGTTATTGCAACAGCCAACTTGCAAGGCGAATTTATAAATAGTAGTGTGTGGTTCCCCCAGGCCAATATTTCCTCATTGCAATTGGTTTTTGATATTTCGGGGATTCACCGGCATAAAGGTCGAACATTTTGAATTAATATTATGAAAAAAAAATGATTTAAACAACGTTTTTTCTAAGTTTTATTTGTTTAAAACAAAATTTAAAAACAAAAAACATGTTTAAAACAAGAAACCGTGTTTTGTATAAAATAAATTCATGTTTTTTTTTTCAACCCTGGTTGGTCATTTCAAAAACATCGTAACTCACTCGGTGTCGACAACAAATAAACGATTTTTAAGGAACTATTTGAGCTTCAATAGATTATATATACAACCTTCACAGCTTATCAATAGTAATACTGAAAATAATCTATAAAACTGTTTTCAACTTATGTTGTTTCAGCAAATAACAGGGTTAGTGGTATATAGTGTAAGCAAAGCAATTGCTGATTTCACCCAACCCATGCGTTGCAAATTGCAGAGAGACCCCTACGTCTACTGCTCGGCATCTACACTATGTACAGATATATGTCGCACCACCATCTCGGTTAACCCGGAATACAAAGTATTCACGAAGCAAACCAGCAAGGGCTTCTATGCCCATACTGCCTTTTGATTCACAACAATTAAAGACGGAGTGTCATTTATTTTAGGCCCCAACAACAGTTATGATCCGAAATCACATTTGAACGACTCTCTACAAAATCGTGCAACTTTACAATATGCATTCGCTTTTGTTTTGTCGCAACAATACTATCTAAAAAATTAAACATCCAGAATCTTGAACAGAATTTCCTCGCTTTTGCACTTTGCCTTTTACTTAAGTACAGCAGTATAATGTATTTATCTTTGAAACAAATGATACTTAACTTTACAAAGTAAATGTCATACGAGGGATGTCTTTTAAGTTTTGCATATAGAAACATAGTAGGCCTCGCGGATCGAACGTCGGTGCTGTATCTTAACCTCACTCTTTAGTAAACTTAAATTCAAAGTTTCACAACAATACGTGCAGTGTTCTCACTACAGTGAATTTTTAAGTGTCACCAAGTCATTAGAAAAATGGAACTCAACCGAGAACATTTTCGCGCCATAATTATTTAGACATGTGACATATCGCGAGATTGAGGCGTCCTTGAAGATATCAAAGACCTCAATTCAAAAAATTGTACATGAAGAATTAGGAGTCAGAAAATTAGTTTCTCGTTGGATTCCCCACCTGTTGACTGAAGAGCAGAAAGCAGCCAGGGTCAATTGGTGTCAAAGAACGCTTGACCGTTTCAATTCCGGAAACTTAAAAAATGTGGACAGCATTGTTATGAACCAGAAAATTAACGACAGTCGGATGTTTGGGTGTTCTAAGGTGAGGAAAAGCCAACAAAAGTCATCCGTTCTCGAAGTGTTTCCAAAAAGATGGTCGCGTGGAGAATACTTCGAAAAACAATAAAGTCATTTATAACTACCTACCGTGTTGTTTTATTTCCATATGCAAAACTTAAAAGACATCCCTCGTACGCTTTTAAAACTTTGAACTGTTCATATTTTTTTTAAATAAATAACAAAACGAATGTTCATGTTTGTGCACTTTCCTTACAGATTACCTGTATCTCATGTATGCAATGACCCTATGCCTGTGTTAAAGCGGGTGTATATACTTTTGTCTGTATGCAAAATTAGCCTGGTGTTCAAGTTGTGGCTCACCGAGACTTGTAATGCCCTTAAGGAAAAGCAAGACGTGAATGCATAATCAGCGGAGAATCTGCGGAAGATTCCTGCTAGACATTTTTTACAAGGGAAACTGCTCTAAGCTTGGCAATTAAAACAGATGGTGATTTATCGTTAGTGGAGAATTTGAATAAAGACTGCTGGAATAACTTGGGGAGGTTTTCAATTTTCAACATAGGGAACAGTACGGAATTATGGATACAAGGATTTTGGTTTGAAATAACAGAAACGTATCATAATAATAGGTAAATGTAGATGTCGATGTCGAAAGTCAATTGGATCCATTCTACAGGGTGGACCAGAAAAACGTAAGGATTCTTAAACAGGAATAAGTAACTTGGTGCTAGGAAATTTAGTTGCCTTGCGTTTCATCCGTAAGTGGCACGCGTTCTGTGTTAAGGCTTATTACAAAAATTATGATATACATGATACTTGATCTAAATCAATGTAGTAGTGAAAGTGTAACCAGGTCGTGGGTCAGAAAATTCGAGTCTACCGGTTCGACTCTGAATCAAAAACCTGCGTCCAAGGTCAATACGAATAGAGGAAAATGTAAGCGCCAACGAGTCTTTAGCAGTTGTAAACGAAATGTTTAGTAAAAAACTGATATCGCGACATTCCGTGGCCTCCCCGGAGGTCAGACCTCACGCCACTGATTTTTTTTCTCTGAGGATACTTGAGGCTATCAGAGCAAGAGTGGCCTAAGCCCAAAATCATGGTACTGAGAAAAACGCAATTTAAATTTTCGCTTTTTTTGTTTCTTTGCCAATAAGGTAGTTTTGTTTTAATATGATTTTTTTCCACTGCAACAGTTTTTAAAAGATGTCCTATTTTAAATGTTATTTCAATATTATGGGCAAAACGAAATTTGACAAAAAAATGTGGGTTAGGCCACTTTTGTATTAACGAGAAATTGTCAGTATGCAAAGAAATTAGTTGATTCGGTGGGATAGGCCATTGTTGATAAAATTACTGAACAGTCAGGAAAAAAACGAACAATTCAAAAAATAGTAATTTTTATTAGTCTCTTAACAAAAGAAATATGTAATAACTAATTTTCACATTCATTTTCATCGCTATCAGAATAAATCTCATCGTCTTGATCATGCGCAGTTTTCAGGTTTTGATAGAACTCGTGATGAATGGGGGGAATAAAACATACAAGATCCAATAGGTCCTTTTTCTTTTTGATATCAACTTTACGTCCTTTTGGATATAACAGATTCAGCTCTTTAAAACTGTTAGAAGAGTTCCTTTTAGACACGTCTACTGAATCAAATGGAGCAAAATCTTGATTTGAGTATTTAAAATAGATTTTAAGCGGATCCGACTTTTTAAAGAGCAGCCACTGGATTTTCATCCATTCTACTTTTAATTTATCTTCGGAAATTTTTCGATTCGTTATATTCTTCTCTAAATTAACAGTAGAGTAAAAATCTGTGACTGTCATCTGAACAACTTTAAAAGGAACCTTTTTTCTTGCTGCCTTAACAACGGTTTCCCAGCTATCTGGCACATAGATGTCTTTGAAATATTTCTTTTGTTTTTCAATTAGTCCGAAATCCTGGTCACACGGTAGGTATGAGTGTCCACTGACTAAAAATTTGTGGTTAATTTCTTCAACAATGAGATCATGAGAGGAAACAATATAATTGCATAGTAGTGCCATTTTGATGTTTCTATTTTGGCCACCGCATTGGTCCGAGTACATCAATAATTTTTTTGTTTTAACTTGATTCTTAATAAAATGCAGCAAACACGAACCAATTTCCTGGGGACCTCTAGATGCAATGGATTCATTCCAGATGTACATGAATGACTTTTTGGTAGCCAAGTTATGTATGTCCAAACAAAGTCCAGAGTTGCCTTTTATAATAACTAATTCCGGTGGAGATTACTGGCGTCGGAAGAGTTTTCATTAGATCAAAAGCAATTGCAGTTACCTCTGAATTATTTTTCGCCACAACAGCATCAGATTTCACTCCCTCTCGGGCACTCTGAGCTTTTCTTTGATGTAATTCCATTTCAGTTGTTAAACTTTGTCTTTTTTCGACGTCCATTTCAAATTTTAATTTATTTTGCAATAAGTCACATTTTTTACAAGAATCAGAAACAGGTGCATGAAAGTGAAGATTGAATTGTTTTGAAAATATTTCAGAAAATATGTATTTTGATACAGGTTGTTCGTCTTTTAAACTTAGTTGTTTCTTATAGAGGTCATACATTATACTCAAATTCAAATCTGGGGCTAGGTATCTCCGATGTGGTTTTTTTTCCTGGAATAGTGTGACTGATAGCTTGGAAACCTTTCAATGAATTCTTTAACTTTATCAAGTTTATGATCCGGCGTTTTGTTAGCAGAAGGCTGTTTTCCCCTACCATCTGTTGGAGCAGGCATGGCTTTTGATTTGTTGACCAAAACTCTGGTTATTCTGCCATCTGAGACTTTAAGTACCCCTTTAAAAAAGCTTTTACATACTTTTATCTTGTTACCTGTGTCATCTTGTAAATAAAATAAACGGGTCTTTTGTCGTCTGGAAGTATTACCATTGTTGGTATAGACTCTTGATTTATTCACAACATCGAAGCAAGAAAAAAGGTAAGCCGACTTCAAATCAAATGATTCAATTTTGTAAAATGCTTGGAAAATAGCCTTTTGTCGCTCTGGGAGAATCTTTTGCCAACAAAGATCTGTACAGCAGTTGTCTATATTATTAAAAACTTTTGCGGGAACAAGTTTTTTTGATCTCCTACTTATGTATGCTTCTCCAAGATTCCTTTTAGTTTTTGTCACATTGCGTTTCCACTTGTTTTCATTTCTTACGCGCTTACGAGAACTCTTCTGCTGCTCTGCATCATTTTCAGTGTTTTGGGGCTCAGCGTCAAACTCATGGGACATGTTTAGCTCCGAGATAGACTCAGACTCGCTTGGAAGATATTCAGAACCTGAATCTTGAAAAGGTTCATCAGGCTCTTCGTCCGATTCTAAATAAAAAGAAACATGTACGTTATGCTAAACTTTTTTATAATTTTGATTAGTTTGCAGCTTTAATTCAATGCGTATAATAGACAAAACTACTTATTAAAAATTGAATGGGTATTTTTTTAAGTTGAGATCATTGGTAATGTCTCGCAAACAGAACAGAGAAATAGAAGGCATTTACAATGGAAAAGCTAGTGGAACCTAACCTAAAAATATTTCTCATAATTTTGGAATATTATACCACTTACCTGTGAATGTATACGATGTGGAAGCCATTCTTATTGATAATCAAACTCCTTATTTTGTATTTACACACTTTTAAATGAACAGAAGCAATCAAAAATCGTGTCTTGATTATACTGGTTTATACCACGTTTCTTTTCTAGTAAAATTATAAAGCAACAGTGGCCTATCCCACAATTTGTGGCTTAGGCCGGTGTTGCTCTCTAGTTGAGACTTTTTAATGCAATGCAAAAACAGATTTGGTGGTGCCATCTCTTGCCATGTAGTCAAATGTGGCATAGACCACTTTCACCCTAAAATATACCTTAAGAATCAATCATTTCTGTATCAAACTCACTTTTGTATATTTGTGGCTTAGGCCACTCTTGCTCTGATAGCCTCACTTCAAGAGCCGCGTTTACGCCAAACCCCAGCTCAAGCACAACCCACGAGCGATGTACCAGCGAGTTTTCACAAATTTGAAATCGAGATTCGAGGAGTGCATACGTCTCGATGGCTCACATCTCAATGATGTTATTTTACATTGACATCGACATGCAAGAGTCAGCTTAATATACAGGGTGTCCAATAAGTACCACGACAAACTTAAGGATAAAATCGGCTTTGGACTGATCTCCCAAATAACAAAAACTTACCTATATGGAAGTGTCACCGTTTTTGAGATATTAAATTTCTTCTTAAATTTAAAAAAAACGAACCTTTTTATCTGTGGTCTTTACCTGCATGTACAAATAAGGGTATACTTTTACTATTGTTCATTTTTTCTATAAAACACTGCGAGATAGTTGATTTATCATATATAAATGCAATGTAGTTAAAAGATATTAAGGAACCATGATAAAATAAGGACTGTTTTGGGATTTATAACTTTCTGATATTGTTTGCGTGGTTGCCATTCTGATTATTATTTCGAAGTGTGATTGTCATGGATTTGTTTGACTTTAATGTTAATTTGTTAGCAATAATCCAATCCTGAATGCTACATTATACTGGCTGACGTCTCCCTGTTGATGTCTGTGGGTTGATACCAGTAGTGTCATCATCATGATGATGACCAAAATAGCCCCCAATCGTGAGAACACAATTTCTCTAGCAAGTCTCCTCTACCAGTAGTGTGAGACCCTCCTTTGTTTTTCTACAGAGATGCCCACGTCTTCCATGATTCGCGTTGATCGGTCAGAAATCTCACCAAACGCATTTTATTTAAAAAATACTAACGGAGACCTATCTCGCTATCTCGGACATTCATCAGAACTAGCAGAAACCGGTGTTTTAGAATGTCGGTACAGAAATGGATGAACAAACTTGATTAAAATGTCATCCAGTGGTATCTTTTTTCTAGCATGGTAGCTCATTAATTATTGAAATTCATGTGAGATGTTATCGCAGCCAATTTGTACTACATTAACTAAATGACAATAATTATTTGACTCAGTATTAAATCTACGTCGATTATGGGCAATAAAAAATGACGGTTTCGCATGATTCCTATCGGTCATAGGCGCAGGTTGCTTGACTCAGTGTTGTGCAGAATTTTTGAGCTAGCATGTCACAAACTGTATTTTGTAAAATTCTTGCTCATGAAATGCGCAAAAATGCACTCATATATCGTATACTCTTTAGGCGAATAAACTTATAATTTGATAATTGGGATACTCTTAACTTATGTCGTACAACACTGGAGGATATTTGGTAATGCTCACGTCATTGCTGTAGATAATACAAATAACTCCTAGATAGGTTTCAGGTGACACTTCCTCTCCAATCCAAAGGCTGGCATCGACACTCATGCGACTCTTACGAGTACAATTCGCTTTTACGGTCTTAAATCGTCCGGTAGCGCGGTGGCATAGTAGTAGACGCTACTGGTCAGCAGTCAGTGGACAACGAACAAAAGAAGAAGCAAGTCTATCTATTCTGAGTGCCATCTTTTACTGCGAAAGTGAAAACATCAAGCTCACTGCTTCTTAGAACACAATAGGAAAAACTGTTTCAGAACGAGTTCAAACCTGTACTGAAGGTGGATCACATATTCCCTGACTCTCCTCCAAGCCTGCACCTCCAGTGCTGCCAGATCGAACGCTACGTTGCCAGTCTTATCACTTAATTCACATGCTTCGTATATGTGTGAACTATGTCCAATAGGTGTGCAACCCTCATCACAATTTTTTACACCCTCAAAAAATGTATTCTTTTATTTTTTGCCCATTTCCATGATCTACTGGGCTTTTTCATCCTTGGCGAATCAACATTCTGGGGAGTGGGAATGAGTGATATGGTTTCTTGTGGCGTACACGTCATGTACCGTTCAAAAAAATGGAGTTGACTGTGTAGCTTCCACGCAGTTCGTAAAGGAGTATGTTCGGCACAAGTTAGTCCTTCTGAGAACACGAATAACAAACAACTGAATGACTCTCCCCCTCCCCCTGAGCGAAATTAATGCGGAAACACATGATCGATGCTATGACTAATCCCGCAGGGACGCAGATATTGTCTTTTACAACATACAGATCACAACAGCACGAAAATGAGTCTAATAGAATTTCCAGGGTTGGAGGTGTATAAATTTACGGCCCACGGATTAGCGGACAGACAAACCAAAATACAGACTGACAGACAGACCGACAGACAAACAGACGCAACGACAGACAGACCCACATACAAATCGACAGGCAGACCGATAGACAGACCGCCAAAAATGAGACACATGGTTTTTTACAATACTTCCTCGCCAGTTGGCGTGGGAAGTAGAAATAAAACTAGGAGGGATATGTTGTCCAGACTATACCCATGAATTATAAGCAAATTATATACGATTCTCGCGCAAAAAATAACAAGCCAATCACCATAATATAATAACAGCTAGGTGAATTTAAATCAAACCGAAGAATATTTAAAAATCCAATCACGTGCATTGATTATGTAAGCGCCATTAGTTGATTTATGAAGTTTAAAGAGACCCATTAGTCTCACGACATTCACGGCGACTACCTTTTTTGTTCACATCTCGAAAACAGTTCGATTGAATTGTTCTCTGAATCAGCAATAAATTGAACTTTATTATTATTTAGACGTCACATTTTTATACTTTGTGCTCGACAACTAAGTTCGTGCATAGATTTGATTACTGATATTATAACTACATAAAATAGACGGCGAGAGATTTATTTACCTTAGTAGTTGTAGACGAGATTCTCAAACAAAATTAGGATGAAATAATCCATTAGGCACGAATTTGAGAATAGTCTTAGAAATGTAGATAATTTTTCGTATTTGAAAATAGATGAACGAGGGTTGACTTCTATGCTTCGCCGATGATGTTGTTTAATCAATGCTCCGGCATTACCGTAATCTTCCGGTGAAAATTTTGTCTGGCTGCTGAAAACTAATACTGTACGACATTCCACGTAAATGTTTCTTTAACTATGGAAATTGTCTGAAATTAATAGGGACCAGGTCTAGCGAATATAGTGGATGATGTACCAGTACAAAGCCTGATTGACATCAGGGAGCCAAAGCATTGCAGGAGGTATGGTTGGAAGCATTATATTCTTATGAAACAGTACTCCACTTGTTTATCTTCCCCAAAGTTTCTATGTAAATTTTCAGTTTACATAATAGATACGTGTAGTGCTAAACGTCCATCGTGTAACACCATAGTGTGCCATTTTTAATGTTTTTCATCAATATTATTACAAGTGGGAAACCTAACCTCACTTATTTATTATCATTATTGTCCACCGTTTTTGTATTTTTGACCTTCATTTAGTATGTATACGTCGTGGATGAGCGTTTAGACGAGGTAAATGTGAAGGTACTTTGAATTTGAATCCTAATGAGGAATGGGGACGTAGATAAGCAGAATGGTAGATTCTTCCTTGTACAGAATAGTTTTAAATGTAAAACAGGCATTTTCTTATAAAATGTCCCAAGTATTGGGCCAAGTATTGTACAAGAAATTGTGTAATCTGAGACGGTCTAAAAAAATGCACACTCTCTAACACTCGCTATAATGTTTTAATTGGTTTAAGGGGGCGTTTTTTGCAGGAACACTGTTCTCAACAGGATTAATTTCAAAAAATAATCCAACGGTGACAGCCGCCTATGGATAGTGTTTTGTTTTGTTCGCTTTTCGTGATGTCTTCAAATGATTAGAACTATACCGCACTGCTGATTGCAAAATAGCATTAAACAACACTATGCTCGCAGAGACGGAAATCAAACAGACCTAATTCAACCAAGATCTATTTCTTTTAAAACTCATTGTCACGCTTGAACCAAAAACCATATAACGTCAGGAAAGTTAGAGATATGAACTAAATATTTTGTTTACATAGCCTACTTGGTTAACTGTTAACAACATTCATCATAAATAAGCACCTGCTAATGGGATTAGATGAAAAGGATTTTAAAATTCATAGGTTATCTACTGCAGAAGGAGTTTTAGTCGGATTTTGTATTCAAGAGTATAATTCCGTGAGAAACAAACGAGTTTCTGCTGAGAAGGCAACGTGTGCTTAATATGCCTCACTGTTCGCAATGACCGCGTGTGATTCTGTCACGTTCAAAAAATCACAATAATGGACATCACAAATAATTATAATAGAGTTCAATTAACGTACACTTACGTAACATCGAGTTACTTGATTTAATTATAGAGAGACAAGTGATGCAATCACCGAGGCATTTTTTTCTTCTCCTTTTGTACGACCATTCAGAATGACGCCCGAAGGGTATATCTACTACAAAAGTTAATTATATAGTAGGTTCCTCGCTGACCAAGGATCGAATGGTGATGCTGTGATTTCTTATGAAGTGACAGATGACAAATGGATTTTCCGTCTCCGTCTAGCCGCTCGTATATTTGACATTGGTCCATCTTCTTATATTGGAACCCGGACATGGCTAAATTACATTTTTTATACCGGCAAACGTGAATAGTTTTTTACTACGCTTCGAGAG